CAAGGAAGGACACTCCATTTATGAGGAAGCCATAGCAAGTGTGTGGATGGAGAAAGGAGTGAAGAACTGGGGCCAGTGATACCACCAGGCTCACCCGTGGCACACAGGAAAGATAAAGGTTTCTTCTGCCAACTGCTGCTAGCAGTGTTTTGTTGCAAAGGTGCAACAGCGAGCTTGGCAGTCCTGGGAAACTTCTGAAGGTTAAACAGCTCACAGGCTCCCTGGGGCCCGAAAACCAGGTGACCACCCTGCTCCATCCAAGTCAGGTTCTGGCGACTTGGATGGGTAGCCCAGGAGCCCAAGTGAGGAGGGAGCAGACAGTGGAAGTGCAGAGAGCAGCACAGCAACCAAAGAACTCTTCCATGGCTAAGCGTGCGAACCTTTATGCTCTGACACATGCCAAGGAGAGCACTGAGGAGGTCAGAGCCCCTGGGACCAGCCAGGGCGAGATCAGCTTCACCCAAGAATCAGGACAGGAGGGAAAACCAAATAGGCAAGGGTGAGATTCTGACCTGAGCCAACAATTAGTCAGGTTTATATGCTTAAATTAACCATGATGTTCTGGTTGCTGTTGCTTTATTTATTTATCATTCAAAATAAAAAATAATACAGATGTCTCATTTAAGTAAAAATAGAGGCTTATCATGGAAGTAAAAACAGAGGCCTATAATGGAAAACAGCAGTTTCCTGCCTCACCCCTACAATCTCCTAATTACTTCTCCCCAGAAGCAGCTGTTTTAGCTGTGTCTTCTGACACTTTCTCTACATTTTTTTCCAGGTTTATGTAGCTATTTCTTGATTTTTCAACTTCAGACATAATCTGTTCTCTTCCTACCTTGGAAAACAAGAATTTAACTCTTACAGCTCCCCTATGCTCCACACACACACGTATATTTCTCTTCCCCCATCTTCCCAATATAGATATTTCAGTTAAATAAATATTTTAGTGTTTACATTATTATGACTGTGTAAAAACTTTTCACAACTGAGCCATTTGGTGTATTATACACAATTATATTTCCTTTCAGTGCTCAACTTCTTGTTTCCCCAGGAGCCTTTTCTTTAACTGTTTGGCTTTTTTACATACTTGTCAATAATACAACCCTGAACTCTCAGAACTGAGCATTTCACTGACATAGTCAAGTAGATTAATAAACTGCTAGGTCGGTTGGTTGGTTGGTTGGTTTGAGACAGCCTTCTGGGAACCACTGTTTTTCTTGTTCTGAAAATTCCTTTGCTTCCCTCTAGTGGTGAATTCCACATTGCCTGCGTCTCGTGTCTTCATTTTGGTTTATTCTCTTGAGGGAGCATGACTACCAGTAGACTTCTAATAAAAGATGTGTGAGTCCTTGTTTGTCTGAAAATGTCATTATTCTGTTCTCACAATTGATTGACAGTGTGATTGGGTGTAAAATTCTAGGTTGGAAATAATTTTCCCACAGACTGTTTTCTTTTAACTTTTCATTTGGAATAATTTTAGATTTACAGAAAAGTTCCAAAAACATCACAGAATTCTACCTACTGCCTTCACCCGGTGTCCCCTAACGCTACCATCTTACGTAACCACAGCACAGCGATCAAAGCTAAAGAATTAACTATCATGCCCCAAGAAGGGTACAACAGAAAGAAAGAAAAAAACAAAACCTTAAGAAATTAACTTTGGTACACTACTGTTAACAAAATGACGGGCTTCAGATGTCACCAGTTTTTCCCAATAATGTCACTTTATTTTTCCAGGATCCAGGCTAGGATCTCACGTTGTGTTTAGCTGCTGAGTCTCCTTAGTCTCCTCCAATCAGGAGCAGGTCCTCAGTCTGTCTTTGTCTTTCATGATCTTAACAGTTTTGAAGAATCCTGGTCTGGTATCGTGTAGAATGTCCCTCAACTTGGATTTGTCTGATGTTTTCTCATGATGAGACAGAGGGCTTGGATGTGGGGCAAGATCGTCACAGGTGACGTGCCCTTCCCAGCACATCCCACCTGGGGTGCGTGGTGGTGCTGGGACTTCTCACTGAGGATGTTTATGCCAGGCTTCTCCACTCTAGAATTACTATTTTTCCTTTTATAATTAATAAACATATTGTTAGACATACTTTAAGACTATGCAAATGTCTTATTTATCCTCAGACTTTCACCCACAAATTTTAGCAGCCATTGGTGAATCTTGGCTGCAACAGTTATTACTGTAATGCTCTTAATGGTAATTTTCTATTTCCCTCATTTCTTTCACACTTATTAATGAAACTCTTTTGCAAGATAGAGCTGTCCCTTCTCCTCCACGTATTTAGTCATTCATTTATTTATTTGTTTCAGCATGGACTCATAGTTACTTTATTCTAGCAGCTGTAGTACAATTTTATTGTTCACGTTGCCCTCTGAATGTTGAAGCCTCTACTCAATTATCCTTCAGATTTCACTATTGCTTTAAGTTTAATGCTATTCTGATTCTTTACCTTTCGTATGTGACCGGTTTTTCTTTTTGGGGATGTTCTGAAATTTTACAAAATTGTGCTTTTGTGTTTATCTTTTATCATGCATTTATATCGGGCACGCCATGGACTCTTTCAAGCTGGAAACTTACGTGTTCTGGGAAATGTTCATGCTTTATTTATTTATCTGGTGATTTATCCCCATCACCCACTTTTTCTTTCTTTCTTTCTTTCTTTTTTTGTTTCTGGGACACCATTATTCTGATGCCAAACTTTAGAACTAATCCTCTAGTTTTCTTATGTTTTAATTTCCAATTTTTCATCCTTTATCTTTTTGTTCTACTTTTTAGGAGTTTTTGTTTCTCCTCTATCTTCCAATTTTGTACTGGATTTTTCAGTGTAGATTTCCAAGAGCTCTTTCTTGTTTTATAAATATTTTCATAGCAATCTCTCTTCGTGGATGTGATATCTTCTCTTATTTGTAAAGACTTTAATCATTTGGGGGAAGTTTTCTTTTGCTTCCTGCAATGATCTCTTTCCTCTGAGTTGCTTTTTTCCTGTTTGTTTCTCTCTTTCTCTCTCTCTTTCTTTCATGTTGAAGACTTTTTGTCAGATGACCTGTCATCCTTTATTGTCTGTTCATATTTGAGTTAGACGTTGAACAGGATACCCACACCAGGTCCTTTGGGAAGGAAAACATGTACCTTCCCAGTGGAGAGACCCAGCAGTCACCACCTTTACCAAGAGATCAAGTTTTACTTTCCCACTAGTGAGACGGGCAGGCATTGTGTCCTGATGTGATGCAGCATGAAGTAGAGAATTTCACTTGTGTG